CATCCATCCATCCTCCACCTACCTACCCCTTCATCCATCTGTCCATCCACCCACCCACCCCTTCATCCATCCATCCATCCATCCATCCACCCACCCCTTCATCCATCTATCCATCCACCCACCCACCCCTTCATCCATCCATCCGTCCATCCTCCACCTGCCTACCCCTTCATCCATCTATGTATCCACCCACCCACCCCTTCATCCATCCATCCATCCACCCACCCACCCCTTCATCCATCCATCCATCCATCCATCCACCCACCTACCCCTTCATCCATCCATCCATCCATCCATCCATTCACCCACCCCTTCATCTGTCTATCCACCCACCCACCCCTTCATCCATCCATCCATCCATCCATCCATCCATCCACCCACCCCTTCATCCATCTGTCCATCCACCCACCCACCCCTTCATCCATCCATCCATCCATCCATCCACCCACCCCTTCATCCATCCATCCATCCATCCATCCATCCACCCACCCCTTCATCCATCTGTCCATCCATCCATCCATCCATCCATCCACCCACCCCTTCATCCATCTATCCATCCAACCACCCACCCCTTCATCCATCCATCCATCCATCCTCCACCTGCCTACCCCTTCATCCATCTATGCATCCACCCACCCACCCCTTCATCCATCCATCCACCCACCCACCCCTTCATCCACCCCTTCATCCATCCATCCACCCACCCACCCCTTCATCCATCCATCCATCCATCCATCCACCCACCCACCCACCCACCCCTTCATCCATCCGTCCACCCACCCACCCACCCCTTGATCTGTCTACCCACCCACCCACCCCTTCATCCGTCCATCCACCCACCCACCCCTTCATCCATCCATCCACCCACCCACCCACCCCTTCATCCATCTGTCTATCTACACATCCATCTATTCATCCACCCACCCACCCACACACCTATCCCTTTTTGTCTCTGTGGTCTGTCTACCTGTTATGTATGTATCTGTTTATCCATTTATCCTTATCTGTCATCTGTTTAAGGCTAGCTGTCATTTATATATTTATATATCCATCTCTCTATCTCTGTGATCTTTTTATCTCGTTAGCTACCTGTCATCTGTGTATATACCTATAATCTGTCATTCATGTATCCATCTATCTACTTCCTATTCTTCTAGCTTTCTATTTGCCTATCCATCTACTTACCATCTGTCTTTCTGTGTAACTGTTTACCTACCTACCTATCCATCTGTCAGTCATCTATCTACCTATTCATCTATCTGCTTTTCTATATATCTATCTACCTATTTATCAATCATCTGCCTGCCTGCCTACCTACCTACCTACGTATCTATCTACTTTTCTATCTAGCTATCAGTCATCTACCTACCTATCTACCTGTTGGTGTTTTGATTTTTCCATTACTGTTTGCTGAGAAATGCCTGCAAATCACATAGAACCAAACTTCTCAATATGCACCCTCGCCTGTGATGTCCTAGGTAAACCCAAAAGGTTAAAAACAACTGAGGCATATTGATCGGTGTCTACCCAAGGAAAAGCACATTTTCCGTCGGTGGTAACACTGACCACACGAGGGCAGCATTGCCTGAGGATCTTTGTATCCTGGAGTCTAATACTTTTAAATAGAGTGAGGTTCATGTACCCCAAATTTTATTGATGATAGGATAGAGAATACAATATGCTATTAGAACATAATATTGTTAGAATATAACATAGACTTATTAGAATATAATTAAAACAGTATTAGTCTCAGGGCATGCTGAAGTTAAAAATACATAAAAATAAATTTTAAAAGAATAGAATATTACACTCAAAATGACTGTATTACAGTTATTATCTAAAGTTATCAGAATTGTTAGTAGGCTGTAACATATTGGAATATTTGATATATTAGAATATAATAGAATAGAAAATAACCTAATTATAACGGAATATATCATTAGGCTAATTGAAAATGAATAATTAGGCCAGGCACGGTGGCTCACACCTGTAATCCCAGCACTTTGGGAGGCCAAGGCAGGCGGATCACCTGAGGTCAGGAGTTCAAGACCAGCCTGGCCAACATGGTGAAACCCCATCTCTACTAAAAATACAGAAAAATTAGCTGGACATGGTGGTGCGTGCCTGTAATCCCAGCTACTTGAGAGGCTAAGGCACGAGAATTGCTTGAACCCAAGAGGCAGAGGTTGCAGTGAGCCAAGATTGTGCCACTGCACTCCAGCCTGGGCAAGAGAGTGAGACTCCATCTCAAAAAAAAAAAAAAAAAGCAAATGAATAATTAAATGAACAATGGTTTCCTAATTAAAGCCCAGTCTGCTGATGTGTGCATTTCGTGAGGCAGGGAGCTATTGATTCACAGCCTATTTTTATTTTCCTTTTCTCTAATTGGAGTCTTTCTGGGTGAATGTTGCGTTTTCAGTTTCTCAGCAGCGCGCTCTCTTTTCCCATGGCTGTGTTTCGGGAGTGGCCTGCCTCTCCAGCCCCAGCTCTCCCCAGGGGTTTCCATGCTCTTCCCCAGCCCCTCTGGCCTGAGCTCCCGCCTGCTCCACCCCAGGCTTTCTCACTGT